CTACAAGGGCTTCTATATTGTTTCTAGGAGGGTACTCTATGGATAGGTCTCCTGAATTGAGGTCCCTGTTAATCTAAGCCCCCAAACTGGTACGACACCCATGTAAACAGTACTTTGGTAGGGACCCTAGTTTGGAGAACTACCCACGCGTCGTCAAACCTAACCTTCGAAGGCTTCACTGAAAGCCTTGCTGAGGACACTTCTACAGTTCAGGGTTTTAGGTTTACTGCTGCGAAAGTCAGGTCATCAGAATACTAGTAGTAGTCGGAGGCGGAGGAGGAGGGCGAGGAGGAGGAGGAGGAATGCAGTAGTAGCTTAAGGATTGCCCTACCCTGAATCCGTGCGGACATCTTGCAGCAGCTGCCAGCGCAGATGGACTTAATGGTATGATATAGGGCCTATTCCTCAATTAGGGGGTATTGGGCTGTCTGAGTCGTCCATTCGACACCGATGCCACTTTTCGAGGGGGGGAAAGGAAAGCAATTGATTGGGCTGATTGGGTCCCCGGAAAGACCCTTAAACCCTAAACCCTAACCCACACCCTAAACCAGCCCTAAACCCTAAGCCCCAAACCCTAAATCCTAAACCCCTAAACCCCTAAACCCTGAACCCTAAACCTTAAGTTCCAAAGTACAAGGTTTAAGAAACCCCGGCCTGAAAGGCTGAGCCGCATTTCACCCAGGCTTTCTCTGGCATAGACTCCTTTAATGAACATAACCCTGAAAGGAACCTATAAGAATCACTTGGGTAGTTTGTCAAAAACTAAGGCTCTTAATAATAAGAAGCCCCTAAAAAAGGTAGTAAATTTAGGGTTAAGGTTGACTATTACCTAGGATGCCCAGTAACCCAGGAATAAAAAGGGCTCCCTTTTTGGTATTGGGTAACTTTATAAGGGACCTCGGACCAAGGGTACTACTGGGCATCCTAAATAAGAACCACGTAAAAGGATGACTGAAGGGATCCCTAAACCCGAAACCCCTAAACCCTACCTCCTTAAAAGGAAGCCCCAGCAGGGAGCCCTGAGGGAGCAGCTGGCCCTGTTCGCGTGAACCACTCCAACATGCTGCCAAAGGGAGTAAACCTCAAAGTTTCGCCCATGTCTGAGACTTTCGGTGGATGTTGAGTTTTTCGAACATGTATCAGACCTTATCCAAAAGTGTGATTACGGTTTAGGGTTTAGGCTTGGGCTTTTGGGTTTAGATGGCTTTGGTGATGAAAGTTCGGGGCGTGGTTTAAAACAGTGGCTTCAACAGGTCTCCTCTACAAAAAATTATGGGGTTCTTTTAGGGTTTCCAAAAAAAAGGGTTTCAACATCGGGGCCTTAACCCTGAATATCCTACCTTTTTAAGGACTCATATATAAGGACATCAGACTAAGGAACCCTAAAAAGGTAGCATGTTTAGGGTTAAGGCCGTTCTTATTATGGTTTCAGGACCCTCCCCTATACCCTACACCCTACAGTACATGTTGATAACATTGCGTTCTGCAGTTGAAGGTTTGTCATGCAGCATGACGAGCTTTGCCGCACTTGGACTATAACACATAGAAACACCAGAGCCCCAAACTCTAAACCTACATACTATACCTTTCCCAGATCGGGGTTTGGAATTGGCATCCTGGAACAGGAGGCCATGCATGAACCCTCGGACCCCATTCCTCAATCGACAAATCTAGCTGTACGCCCCAAATCATTTCTCCCAGAGTGTAGGGCGCAGGTTAAGCCTCACCTCCCTTGAATGTGGCCGATGCCCTTGCTTGAGGTTTCGAGTCTTCATATGAGTTTCCTCAACTAAGCTTGCGGCATGGGATCTGGACAGTTCCCAAAACCTCCCGACATAACCTACATAACTTGCAGAACCATAGCCCCTTAAAGATTGCGGCTTCTGTAGGGCTTCGTGTACCTGCATGCTCAGCATCTGATTGACAGCGGAGCCCTTCGGCCCTTACAGACCCTAAACCCTAAACCCTAAATCCTAAACTTTAACACCCTAAGCCCTAAACCCTAAAGGGGTCGGCCCGAGTTGGCCCGCAGGGAACTTCTTGAATCACCCTGCCGGCTGGGTGAAGGACGACAAGATGCCGCTGAGTGCCTGTAGAGTCAAAGACAATGGCCACAACACCTGCCGCGAGCCGACATGGAAGGAGGGGGGCTTCTTCAACCCGGAATATCCGTTGCTGGGAGTCCTTATGAAAAAGACACGGTCATGTAAATCACAGCCCTGGAGTAGAGGTTCCTCGTTTTCTGAAACCCCAAGATGTCAAACTCGTCTAGCCGAGTGATGGTACAACGGAAGCGGTGTTCACACCCCTAGAGCAAAAACATTCCTAATGAAATTAATGAAATTATACCTATAGTCTCCATTGTAGTTCCTTTTGGGGTTACCTTATAGGATCCTTAATATATAATTGGTTGGACCCAAAAAAGGAACTACAATGGAAAATATAGCTAGGGCTTGAACTTCGGGATACCCTTAATCCTAAACCCCACCCTAAACCCCTAACCCTACAATGGAGACTACACGTACTTGTCAGTTCCAGGATGGTCGGATGACGCCGTTGTTGGAAGCCGAGGGAGCTTGAGCTTTGGGCTGTAGCCTAGCTGAGGGCCTAATTCAAAGCCTAAGGGGTTTAGGGTTTAGGGTCTAGGGTTTAGGGTTACGGGTCTAGGGTTTAGGGTCTATAGAAATTGTTAAGGGTTTGGGTGCCAATAAGTTTTGGGCGAAACGTTTTGACCGAAAGTTTTGGGCGAAACGTTTTGACCGAAAGTTTTGACCGAAACGTTTTGACAAGAGTTTTGATTTTGGAACCTTGATTTGGTGTTGGGCTGTGGCCAGCCTGGGCTGGGGGTGCTGGGCCTGGATTTTGGGGCTTTGGGACGTGGATGGGCCTGGGTTGGGCACTGGCTTTGGGGCCTGGGGCCTGGATTTTTGGGTTTTAGGGTTTGGATTTGGATTTGGGGTCAAGGGCCCTTAAACCTGCATTTGGCTGGGCCTGGATTTGGGGCTGGATTTTGGGCTTTTTGGGTGCTTGGGCCTGGATTTTGGGGCTTGGGCCTGGATTTGGGGTCTGGGGCCTGGATTTGGGGCTGGGCCTGGATTTGGGTCTGGAGCCTGGATGGCTGGATTTTGGGCCTTTTGGGGCCTGGATCTAAGGTGGGCCTGGATTTGGGGCTGGGCCTGGATTTGGGTCTGGGGCCTGGATTTGGGCTGGATTTTGGGCCTTTTGGGGCTTGGCTTTGGGGTCTGGGCCTTGGGGCCTGGATTTGGGGTCTGGGAAGGTGCTGGGTTGGAGGTTGTGGAGAAATTGGTTTATCAAGAAGCTTGTTCAATTTTAAGCGGTGTGTTGGGCCGTAATGGTGGTTACAAGTTTGTAGAGAAATTGGTTTATCAAGAAGCTTTTTCAATTTTTAATCGGTGTGTTGGGCCGGCTGGGCTGGACCGGGCTGGCTGGGTTGGCTGGGCTGAGTTAGAGGTTGAGGTCGTGGTTGTGCGAAATTGGCTTATCAAGAAGCTTGTTCCGTTTTTGACCGGGTGGCTGGTTTGAGTTGGCTGGGCTGAGTTAATGGTTGAGGTTGTGGTGGCTGTTTTGAGTTGGCTGGGCTGAGTTAATGGTTGAGGTTGTGGTTGTGCGAAATTGCATTATCAAGAAGCTAACGCCAGTTTTAACCGAAATGCTGGGCCCTAGCGGTGGTTACAAACAAGGACAAGCAATTTCTATTTATCACTTTCTTGAGAGGGTTTAGGGTTTCGGGTTTAGGGTCTACGGTTTCGGGTTTAGGCTTCTTCCTCCGGGCTTGAGACTTTAAACTTTTGGGATCTGAAGAGCTCGGTTGGCATTGTTGTCATTACCAATTTACCCATAGGCCCCATAGTAGTTCCTTTTTGGGATTACCTTATAGGCTTCTAAATATGAGCCCCAAGAAGGAACTACTATGGGGCCTATGGGTGATTACCGAAGAATCCGAACCACAGAAATCGCTCGCTGAGCCAAACCCCACATCTCGGCAACCCAAGCCAAAGTCTGCAAGTGAGGGCCTGCAAGCTACCAGACAGTAAGCTCAAAGCCCTCCAGGTACGTAGGCCCCAGGGTGCAAAACGCAAGAAATCCAAAACCCTGCCAACCGTAAACGTCAATGCCCGGTTAAAAGAAATCGCGCCGGCAATGCTCCGTAGCCCAGGAACCAGCCTCCGACCCAAATAGCTGCCTCGTTACACAGACAGGCAGTGCGGCGTGGCATGAGACAAGCGTTCTGGAAGTGTAAGTCGCGCGCGTTTAGGGTGCTGTGCCATATATTGTCTCACAGGGGGCACGAAAGCTGAAGGTGTTTGTACACTGGGTAGAGGTCGTGTCGCGAAGGGAAGCTAGATAAATGCCATGCGTGGGTAAAACAACACAAAAACCGTCATGAGTGTTGGCGATGGCCAGACAGTCGAATTCACGCTTAAGAATGTGGGTGCTTCTGCCACTCCCTACACCCTTACCCTAAGGCTCAAAATAGCCCAAAAGCCTTACATAGTATGGTCTTTGGGCTCAAAGTCCTTAGAGCCTTAGGGTTAACCTACAACCTGAATGCTAAACAACACCCTCGACTCAAGATCGCGATGCATCAGACCCATGACTCCCACGTCAAAGCCTCGCAGCCTGTGAGAACCTGCTGAAGCACCTGCTAAACCCAAACACTCAACCTTAAGAAATGCCCCCCCAAAAAAAAACCAAAGCCAGCGCTTAGGAGATAGGCTCTATACCCCCCCAAAGTGTCAGGCAGCGCACTTCAGAGTTTGACATTCAGGACTTCTGTGTCGCTGAACCCCGGTTACTTGCTTCACTACGTACCTTTGTTGAGCTTGTTGCCCTGTTGAGCGTTTTGCCCTAAACCTTGTGAAGCCCAAACCCCCAATCCCTATCCCTAAGGCTCAAAATAGCCCAAAAGCCTTACAAAGTATGGTCTTCGGGCTCAAAAGCCTCAAAATATGAGTCCTTAGAGCCTTAGGGTATATGAGCTACCGATCCACCCCTGCAACACCGAGAATCCCGAGTCTCCCGGCCGCGATGGCGGCATTCTTCTGCCAGGCATCACGTGCTGCCCTGAGGATGTCAGCGCACTTGCGTGGGGGGTGATTTAAAGTTGGGCGTTCAAGGACTGAAGGGCTCGAGGAGGTTTGATTCGGGGTTTCGGGCTCGGGTTTGAGGATTTCGGACCGGCTTTCGGGTTGGGCGTTCATGGTTGGCTAAAGGATTGTGCAAACTGCTGCGTTGTCGTTGTGTCGTCGGGGACCGTACACGAAAAGGCGCCTCTAGTTTGCCTCAACCGCTGTACCGAACCAGGGTACAGTACGACGCAGCGTAACCTTCTCAAGGACGAAGAGAAACCTAAAAGGGTTTAAGCTGCACATACCATACATATATACCATATATGCGGATTCATAGTATAAAACAAGGCGTGTAAGGGTATAGGGCCCTTTTAGTCCCGAAGGAATGGGACTCGCAGATGTCGCACTGCGTGGTTCAATGTCTTAGTCTCGCTGAAGGCTGTGACGAAGCTCAGAACTGGGCATCTACTTTTTTAAAAACATAGGTTTAGGTTTGTTGAAAAAACTTTGTTTTTAACAAACCTGAACATTAAGTGCTCTGCGGGGTTCAATCCTTCCTGGGTTTAGGCGCTTTATGGGTTCAGGATTTAGGGGCTTAGGGCTCAGGGGCTTTAGGATCAAGCTTCTCCGTTCCCCGGCGTAGGGTCTAGAGTCTAGCATGCGACGAGCTTGTAGCCTGAAATGAACTGCTCAGCATGCTTTGACGTGTGGTCATAGAGGCAGCTTCAGCATGATTCAGCAATACCCTCCACTGTCGTTCCCTGGAAGGTTATTTGATCAACGGTATATACGGTTACCCAGCTTCTTACGTATGCATTTACGTGTACATCTTCTGTATACATACTCTCTCTACCTATATATATATATATATACACACTCACATATAACACATATACTACGTGTGTATATATACACACACTCATAGACAGCATGTGCATATACATACACATGTACACTGTACAATCATGTGTGAGTGTAATTACAGCAATACAAACACACCTATATACATATATAATTCAATATACTATACATACAGATATATATGATATTGAAAAGTGACAGTCTGGAGCACTGGGCTCGCCGGAAAGTTGTAAGCGACGAACTTCGAGGTCGTACTCGTGGCAGCTCCCCGATTGCTCGCCTGCCACTACCACCGCGCTTTCATGGGGTTTCGGGCTTAGGGTTTAGGGTACCAGGAGGGTCCATATGTGCTACTAGTCTAGAGTTAGGTCCCCAAAACCATAATAGGGATGGTCTTTGGGACTTAATTCCATAATGGTAATGTGTATTAACCCTCTGAGTTAAGATCAATAAACCCTAAACACCAACCATCCTAAACCCCTTGACACCCTAAACTTCTCCGCCCAGGTCCATTTTCAAGGGCGGACCTGCTTTTAACATGCGGATAATTTTACACGTAGCCGTTGTACTCCCTCCGTGGCCTACGCGGTCTGGCCGGCCTCCACTTAGTCAAAAGCGTCACCGCAGGTTCTCTGGGGTCCAGGCATTCGGAGGTGGATGAGGGTGTCCGGGTTAGAGGATTGTAAACGAGGGCGGAGGTCGCATCATGTACGTCTTCAGGGTAAGCGACCCTGATCTGCCAGCACTGCCTAAGCAAAACCGGAACTAAATTCAAATCGTTCTGCGTCTCCTGAACCCTGAAGCCCTAAACCCTGAACCCCTAAACCCTAAACGCTAAACCCTAAACCCCCAAACTCTAACCCCCTAAACCCCTAAACCCAAAACCCAAAACCCTGGGAAGGTTTAAGCCGGTTTAGGGCTTTGCGGGGCTTTGTCTTGAGGGTCAGCCGCTTCTGCTTGCCATGCTCTCAAGAGATCGGGTTTCCCAGAACCCCGCACCCTTTAACAAAACTAAGACAACCTAGTCGTTGTGGGTCACATTGTGAGCCCTGGTCTAAACCTTCTAAGAACTTTACAACCACAACAGAATATTGCAGTTCAAGTAAACCTTCTAAGAACTTTACAACCACAACAGAATATTGCAGTTCAAGTTACGCTTCTATGGGTGGGACAAACAAACCTCACAGCTCCTCCCTCCTTCGGACCAAGCTCCTAGATGCTACGTACGCCAACCATGTTGAAAATTGTTGCGTCAGAGCCTGAGACGAGTTCTACTGAAGGTTCTCCGAAACCCTGAACCCTAAAACAGAAAACCTATATGGGTGGTTGTCGAAATTAGGGTCCATTTTTGTTTTTGGGTCCTTAATTCAATACGGCACCTATTAATTTTGACAACCACCCATATGGGTCTTCGTTTGGCGGCTTTCTGGGATCGGGTCCACTCCTCGAACCCTCAACCCTAAGCCCATAACTCCCCCGATGCCTGGTAGGGCTGGATGTTCGGGGGCATCATGGAGATGTTGCGCCCAGCCCTTGCTTCAAAGCTGTGCCAGTTTTTAAATTTCGAAGGTCTAGACAGTCAAACTCTACGGAAAACGTCCTATTCATCGTTTCAAGGCCGGGGCCATGTTTGTACGTACTTGCGGTGGCCAGCGACAGCTTTTCGAGCTGACGCAGAGGTGGGCGCTTTCGATGCATTTGCTCGCGAAGACATCATCTCGGAGTATATAAAATAAGGTTCACATCAAGGCTTCAGGTTCAGGGATTTTTGAGATCCTGGGAGGATCCAAAAAGTAGCTCCCTTACGTAGGCTCCTATTCTAAAGCCTTCTTCAACAGTATAGGCTGCAAAATTAGGGGATCTGCTCTTCAGATTCTCCGCGGGTCCGGTTTTGTGTTGGGGACGTTGACCATTTACCTCTCGGTCTGGCTCGCGCTGCCAGTCGCCAACCCCAAAACGGATTTGGAACCAATGCAGGGGCCTTAAAGCCTTAATGATTCAGAAAGGAACGCTGTGGGGCCCCTGTTTGTCCACACATAAGGTGTTCAATGTTTTGTGGATTGTCGCTTCTAGTTTCAGTTCTGGAATTTCACTCTCTAATGATTAGATTAGGTTTCTGGGGTAGTGTATTGGGACTATAATAAGGTCATACCATTCCTCTGTACTCCGACCCTATATTTCTTCAAGTTCGTGTTGATCCGGCGGCATTTTACTTGTGGCATGTGTGGCAACCCTGCATGCTGCAACCTTCACTCCCCGAAACGTTCTGAAAGTCTTCTACACCCTACATTCCCAAACTAGCATGTACACCGAACTGCCGAAGCACAGCTTCATGTTCTATGAGTCTATGAGACTTACAGACCCCTTTTCAACCTCATAAAAGCACTGTTTAAGCACCTCAGGAGGTACTTGCAGGCTCATTGGGTAGTTATACTTGGTGTGATAGACGGGTAGCCTTAATCAAAGCCTAGGTCTGAATAAAAACCTTGGCCGACTTCTGAAACCCTCCTAAAGGTTATAAACTTTTAGTCCATCTTACTATGGTTCATATAGACACCCAATACGGTTAAAGTCCTAACAGTCAACCAGAAGAACGCCAAGATTAGGGACTTATAACTCCACTGATAACTACCTATAAACCTCCAAGTAGGGGCCTGGGGCCCGCGGCCTTCGCGGGCTTCAAGTTTCAAGGCCCTACAGGGGATAACATTCTGGCAGCTTACGATACACTTCTAAATCATGATCTCAATCACAAAGCGGCTCACGAACACCTCGTTTGGGGGCTCGATGCAATCATTATGGGTACTACTTTGATTGCCTGGGTAAACCCTGACATCTCGAAACTTCACCGAAGTGTCGTCGCCTCCTGCAGGTCCCTTCGCAAAGCCTCCAGAACCCTTCAATAAGGAATATACTTATATAAATCAGAGAAAGGATCCCCCTATTATGATTTAAAGAACTGCATTCCTTGGTTAAGAAGTGTTAGAGCCTGTTGGTTCCCTGATTTTGTCCTGGGGCCCTGACTGCCCGGACTCCATGGCACCCTCCACACTTGCGCCATGTCGCTTCATGGTTTCGGAAATAACGGTTTGGGTTGATTATGTAGGGTTCCGAGCTCCTTGGCCTCAAGCCGGAACCACGCCGCACAAAGTAGAAACGAGTGGGTGCAAGATGGGCTTGGGGCTAGGGTCATGGGTAGCAGGTGCTACGGTGTGTCGGCAAGAAGCAGTTCCGATCCAAAATTTAAGTCTTCTCGGGTCGGGCCCTGCAAAGGATAGCTGATTTGGACTGGATGATTAGGCGTAGGGTTAAGGGCCTAGGGTTTTACTGCTTACGAATTGGGGTGTCTTGGGTGTAAAAGCTTGCTCAAGCAATCATGCACGCAGGGCTGTCCGGAATACTTTGCTCTCACAGCGGCTGCAGCTGGGCCAGGCCAAGTCAGACAATATGCGTGCACATAGGAAGTGACCCGTCGTGTCCTTCCGATTTAGAACTCTTAAGCCCGAGCATCCAACTGCTAACACCATACAAACCCCACCCACACGCAAGCTCTGGGCCGACCAAAAACTCTCCTTGGGAACAAGAAAAACTACCCCAAAACTAGATGCACTTAAGGGTCTAGCTACCGGTCCGCTTACGGCCTGAATCTGATCTGACAGACCGTAAACCTAAAACCCTGAACCTTTTGCCACCAGCCCACAATGCTAGAAAGCCCGGTCGCCTGCTGGTTTTTGCCCCTTGGAATTGGAAAAAGAACACAGATCTAACTCTGGTATGGCAACGGATTATATGGGTACCCAGGTCCTGACCGGCATTCCTGTCCTTATGCAGCCCAGCTCTAAGACTCCATGTACCGATAAGAGGACATCACATGGCCTTAGTGTACATGGTTTAAGGTTCAAGTCTAGGGTTTATAATTTATACCGTAGATAGGACAGATGGGACCCCTGCTAAGGCCAAAGTATGTGCTTCGTGGGGGCATGGGCCCTACAAACCCCTGACGTGCAGCCTGTAATACGGTCATGGAGCCTCATCGCGAGATTATGGGACCCTTGCAGGAGCTCCGTAGAGGAACCATCAGGGCACATGGACTATGTAGTGTCTTCAGAACGTTCCCCTTGATTCTGAAACTCCCAGAGAAGAGTGCAGACTGTCCAAGAATCGAAAATCGCAGCTTTCACCGGCAGTCCACTGCTTGACGGTTCAATCGGGTGGAATGAAGCATATCTACGGTCTCAGAGGCTCCCACAGACCTGAAGCTCCGGAATGGATTCGGGAGGACTCAAACTGCCAAGGCCGAAAATCTCAGGCCACCACAATACTTCGACCGCCATGTCACAAATTCCTATTTATTCTCACCTAGGGTCTACTGCCTCGCGCGTGGCAGATTCCTGTGGAACAAATAGCAGGACTGGAGCCTCCGAGTACAGAGTCCTCGCGCCTGCTATGTTGCTCGGCAAAAGCAACCGCCATTTGCAAGGCCACACCGGTGGTGGCTTGTGACGCTGAAAGCAAGCCAAGCAAAGGCTGCAGCAACACGTTCCCCAAAACGGCCAATTCTACGGAAGCCTAGATTATCCAGGCGATATACCACCTTCAAGAGATACTTATAAAGCCTGCATACCATAGCCGCAGCCGTAGCCCACAGGAGGCTTTTCATTATATTCGGACTATATGATTACATATGCGTCAGCAAGAGCAAGGTCCCCCCCAAAGCGACAGCAGCGACTACCCTAAATTAACAGCAAACACAAATTTCGATTAGTCTTGGTGGCAAAGGGGCGCCAGTTTAATATGTGAGGCAAGGGAAAGGGCTAAAGGACCATGTATCATCTTCAATCCGCGGCTTCTACCGATTAGATGATCGAAGGAACATCTGCTTATACTGCGTCTCAGGGAGGGATCTTCAGCATGACATGCCACTCAAGTCATGCACAGGCTTACGACTTTTATCGCCGTGGCACTGAGCAGTGGATGCACAATTCCCCGACAGCTGCATCTGTTCGGCGCTGCTGTGAAGGAGGATGGATGGTGACGAGCCTGGATCTTCATGTCGATGGTGGACTGCAAGTGCTGCAGTAATGTGACCCTGGCCAAGGCATGCAATCACGAAGGCATGCCTGCACAAACAGGAAGGAATCCGTCTGCCTGTCTGGTTCTGTCAATCCGCGAATCCATGCGTATGTGTTCATCCACGTGAGCACTTCACGAGTGTTTGGAGGTAGCTATATACCTGTAACTTGTAGATGTAGTCGTATGTTGATGTAAGCAAAAGTGCAAGGATGCAGAACACACAATAGCCAAGCTGGGACAAGAACAATCTTTCTCTGGAAATCTACAAAGACAACTCCAAAATTGACACCAAGGGTTGCACTAGCTCTTTCAAAGGTTCTTCATGACGGAGCAGTATAAGTCTAAAACCCAACCCTACTTCCGGCGCCGTGGTTGCACAACTTGATGTTTGGGAACCGGGCTATGTTCAAGAATATTACAGTATGGTACGCAAGAACACTAAGCCGTTGACGTTGTGTGCCTGAGTTCAGGGGATGTGCTTGCAGGCGTACAACTGCATTTTTACATACAGACATTCATTACATTACCTTGTATTGAACTGCATTACATTTCCTTACGTTTCGTTATGCTGGTATATACATATACGTACACATGTAAATACACGCATACGTACATACATGCATACGTGCATACATGTTTAGATGCAAACACTCACACACACACAGAGACATGAACAGACATGCACATACATACCTGCATAGAGACCTACATACATACATACATGCATGCATGCAGACAGATACGGACACAGACACAGATATATGCAGACCATCCATCCATCTCCCCCTCCCTCTCCCGTCTTCCACTGTTGTCAGTACGTCCGTGTCTCCAATTTGCAACACTCCATCCCTCCATGCCTCCATGCTTCCCGTGCATTTTGTGTAACTCCTGCAACCCGAACCTTGAACCGAAAAACCCTCCAGCACATGGCCCCTGCAACCCGTAAACACTGAATCGAAAACCCATCCAGCACAGCTCCTGCTACCACCCTTGCAACCCCTAAAACCCTGCAGTCGATCCTTGACCCGAGAAGCTCTGGAATCTCCGAGCAGATGCTTTGGCCGGCCCGACGGATAGGCCTGCATGGGTTTTGTGACCAATCCCAAGAAACTCGACCAAGGACAAGTAATAGACAATACTTGCAGGGCCAATATTCTCTTGTCAAGGACAAACGCAACCGACATAACTGAGGCATCAGGGCTCGGCGAAGCGTGGGTTGAGCTTGGGCCTTTAAGCAGGTTGCACAGTGCATGCCGCCCGAACGGTTGTCTTGTGTGAAGTATTCTCCAACGGCGTGACTTCAGAACTTCTGCCCTGCACGCGCTGAGCTTGAATGCTCTTTTCTGATAGCATCAAGGAACGTCCTGTGTTGATAAGGAGATCGATGGTCGCCGGCCATCTACAATCTCTATACGGTCCAACATCCTGCAATAGGCAGATGGTCTCCTGCCATCCACAATCTCTGCAGCTCTACGGTTTGTCAGAGCCAAAAATCGCCATAAGTTTAAGAGCATCATCCTGGTCGCCAACTGCTGGCTGGGCCGCTGCTGGCTGGGCAAGGCTTGGCTGGGCAAGGCTTGAAGTGGGCGATGGGGACAGCAGCTTGGGATGTGCGCTTGGGAGCGACATCTGCTCCGTGAGAATCTCCTGCAAAGAACGCTTCTCAGCACCTTCACTATGAAGCACGGGTTGAATGGCAGCTGAAACTTGGCTTGCACAGGCAAGCCTGGGATTTATGATCCCCATGTGGAGCAGGATCGTCCGTGCCTTGTCTGGAGAAGATGTCGAGACTTTGTTCAACAAGTCATGGTAATCGTCTACAATGCCTTGCAGCAGACGGAAGAAGTAGACATAGGAGCCGATCTTGCTGGCGTAGTCGATGGCATCGTTCGCCGCCTGCGCGATTTGAATGTAGTGCTGCTGATTTACGGCTCCCACTGACTTCAGCTTTTCCTGAAGTGCCTTAACACGGTCTGCCCTCTCCTTTTCCTTGGCAAGCAGCTCAAACTCCAAAGCTTTGATTTCATCATTGACGAACGCAAACTTCTTCTGCAGCTCTTTTTGCTTTGCCTGTGCTTCTTCGCTTTGTCCCAAAAGTTCTGCTCGTTTCGTGGCAAATTCCATGCTGTACACATTTTCACACTTGCTTTCAAACTGCTCGCGCAATTCCGTGTATTCTTTCTGAGCGAACTTTTCTTGGAACTTGGCACGCTCCTCGAAAGCACCCATTCCTAACGTGAATACATCACCCCAGTAGTTGAGGCCTTTCATGGCAGCTGACTGTGCAGCTACTTGCTTCCACAGGCTCTTTGCCATCTCAACAAGTTGTGATTCACCCTTGACTTCCTTCATCTTCCTTCTCTTTCTCTCCCATCCACTGCAACAGGCTTACTGCCTGCACAAGCTCTCGGGCACACTTCGCTTGCTCGATCTTTATCTCGCGCAGCTCGACGTGCTTTTCCTTCATGGCCTGCTTCAGCCTGGTGATCTCCTCGCGGACTTTTGCCACCTCTTCGTGCTGCTGCGTCAAACCATGCGAATTACTGAAATGCCGCACGCTCATCTGCAAAATGGCGGCGGCTTTCTGTGCAAGCTTTCCAGAGTCTATGAAAGCCTTCTGCTTCTTCAAGACTTCCACCGTATATCTCTCAAGTACAGCGTCTCGCAAACCTTTTTCGGAGGAGTATCCAGGTCGATCATGCAAGCCCCTGTGCTCCATTTTGTCGAAAGAGCTGCAAACTCGCCAAAAATCGTCCCCAACAACTGTTCCGTCTGAACAACATGCGTGCTGAGCTGTTTCAGCTGAGACTCCATATCGACACAGGCCTGAGTGCCATGACCAATCTCGTAGGAATCTACGATAGCACGCCAATGCTGCCGCAGCTTCACGCAACGAAGTGCCTGCTCGAACCCACTTACCATAAGACTCATGTCCTGCGGTGCACTTGCCAAGTTGTAGCTTGGCAGGGTACCAACTCGGGCTGATTGAGTAGCTGCCATCCTTGCGTGGCGGCTGATGGCAGCAAGTCGTCTTGGAAGAAGCTGCTGCATGACTTCGAAACTATAGCTGACAATCGCAAGAAAGCCAATCGCTGCAGGGCAGCCCCACACTTCCCGTAGGCATGGTCTGAAAGTTGACACGTCTGCACGGCTAAGCAAGAAGAGCTGCTTGCCCTGGCCTGCACAGCACCATCGTGTTGAGCATACACCAGATGTTTCGACCTCATAAACTACGCCAGGCACTATCAAGCGGTTTCTGATGGTCCTCTAGACTTTATAGACAGAGTCAGCGCCCACAAAACCTGCGAAGATTCTGGGCGCTCCATCGCAAACTCTTCTCGGGGGAGGCTTGGTGTGGGGCGGGGCGTTCTTGAGACATACGCCACCCTCAAATGTCAACTTCCCGGTATCGCAGCTAGCAGCGACAAGCGCCATATCCCAGGACCAACAGTTGCGGCACGAACAATAGTCGGTGCAACACCGTTGGTGGCCGAGCGGACATGGAATGGACAGGAATTATGCCAATTCTGGCGGGCTAAACGGGAATGGTACTTGCACTCACAGAGGACACTGCCTAGAACATAGAGCAAGTCTACATCACTCTACATCCTGGAGCCTCAGCAAACAAGCCTTTTCAAACGTTTCGGACATGCAACCTAGCACACAAACCTCTTCTGGCTTGTGGGGCCAGACGCCTTCCCAACACAAACCGGAATTCTGAGAGCTTCCCGGACCAGTCTATCAGAGTTGCCCTGGACCTCCAAAGCCCTGCTACACCTGAACCGAAATTCGTGACAAAAAACCGAAAAAGTAAACTGTCCACCCTACAAGCAACCTGCCGAGCTTCCTTCAGATCAGGGGCACAGCTCGTTCACCGTCCTTACCGGAGGACAAACGGAAAAGTGCGTAGGCACAAAATGTAGCCTGCAGAGTAGTAGTTTAAAGTTTAAAGTGACCGTCAATTACTGGATATAACTTCAACCTATGAAAGACTAGGTAATTGGAGTGACCGTAACCCATGTGGCCTATTCGGTGCCAAGGCCTGCCTGAATACTCTGAACCACACAGTTTAGGGTCTCGGGATCTGCCCTAGGCTCGTTACTATGGTCCCCTCTGTTGGTTGCATGAGCTTCCTTAGATTCCTTAGCAAAGGATGCCAACCTCAATAAAAACTGCTAGGCCCCTGCCACAAGAAGCAACTGCATGGCAAATGCGAGGGCATATAAGTAGCAGAGTGACTAGCTTCACTGTGACATTCAAGGTGGATTGAAACTTTGAGCCATGACTTGCAAGCTGAATGAAAGCCCTAGGAACACACCCAAGCGTGACGGCCCCAATCCGAAACACTTCACCCTGCCAGGACCGTCCAGGGTACCTTCAGTAGAGGCGGCTAAGTCTTGCTCTTGCTCTTCATTTCGAGAGTAGGGCTTGGCACATGGCGGCGGCACACCTTGAAGCCCTACACCCCCCGCCGGCAAAAAGTCTAAACCCGGATCGCTCGTAAGAGGAATTACATATTCGAGGAGATAGATTAAACATCATTGCACGATTGTCTCTATTTAAAGGTCATTGATTAAAGACGTTCTGCAATGCTCCGATATCCGCAAACTGTACAGCTCTAACTCCTTCGACGTCCCGAAACCTCTACGTACAACCGACACGTGCTCATGCTCCTAGGGTAGCCCGAAACCGTAAGCGGTGAAATGCCACACGGCCTCGTCAAGTGGTGATCGTTGGGCTCCAAGTGCCCGATGGGGCTATCCGCGAGGGACCTGACCGGAACCCCCCAAAGTGGAACACCCTGATGCCGCAAACTGGCGAATTAGTTGTATATCTATATGCCGTACCGAATCGTGACCCCAACATCACAAATTGCCGCGTAGGGGCTCGCCGTGAAAAAACTGGATTAAGATATTTTGAACGTCGAAGCCATATCTGTCAACACGCCTAAGGAACGCTAATCTGCACACCCTTTTTTGAATCTTGATCCTCCTGTGCTACATGTGCATTAGTTTATCCTCAGCGGGAGACAGATGTGCTTGGGGCTTAGGGCTGAAACTACAAGACTATGCGACCAAAAAACTAGTCAACCCATACGCGACACCAAACACACAACCCCCACGGCGTACTTGCCTGGAAGGTGGCTGTTAAGCCTGTCCGCCGCCAGTCGCGACGCCCAAGCACCAGAAAGCGAACTGCCAGGGCAGCAAAGTACTCCGCTCCAGGTTGCAGTCCATTCCTTCCCCGGGGCTCTTGTAATTGTGGCGACTACAGGGGTTCTACAAGGGTTTAGGCGTCTAGAGTTCAGGCCTGACTAGTTTTAGGGGCTCTGTTGACCTAGTAAACAAAGTTCGTACATGGGTTCTGGAGAGTATCATACGGGGTCTGTGAGCATTACGAGGTGAACTCTAATTTGCTACCGTGTACTACGGGGTCTTTATCGACCGCTTAAAGGATGTAGTTTGGATTTAAGATAGGTCATCGCGGAGGTCTTGGAAAGGGAAGTGGGCTTCAAGGGCGAATATTGAAAAACTCTGACCCAACCAAACCCTCAATCCTACGCTTCTGGTATGCTTTTTCGTGGAGTTTCACAATCGACGAACCCCAAATGATCTGTAGCGGCAGGACTCTGAAAGCCGGACCCTGGTTTTCTGACATCCGCATACCAGCTCAATAAATGAGCTACACTAGAAAAATCCAGTCTGTGATTTTCCTGATGTGTGAAGAACTCACAAGGATATCTGGCTCCATTGGGTGTTTGGGGGTTCTTGAACCCAGGATCGCTGGCTTGATTGCGACTGAAAGCCACAGCGCTTCCCTATGCTGCGTAGCTGACAACCCGGATACGCTGCTGAATCCCCAGAAGCCGAAACTCTGCATGAGTTTACCTCGCGCAGCGGACGACGACGGGTTGACTGTCCTTGTCCGAACTACGCACGAAAGACCTTCAGATCAGTTACGACTAAGACTCGTAAGAGTTCCTGAACATACTGTTTGAGATATCACCAGAAACCATGTAGTCTTAAGGTGTTACAACATCTTTGGCGAGATGCACAGTCGCTTCACACGGAGAATGGCTCGCAGCTCTTGACGTCTCGCCATCGTCGCCGATCTCCTGACGAGAAAGCGAACATAAGCGACCTGATAGAAAAGGTTTGGGGCATAAGGGTTTTGGGTTAAGAGGGTTTGGGGTTTTTAGCATTTCAGTTTTTTAGGGCTTTTAATTTCGAGTCGGTGCCTTTACTTTCGACAGTATGGGTAGAACTGCTTTTCGTTGTGTACTCGTACCTCTTGCATACGACTCTTCCCGTAGTAGGAACCCCATTAATGGAAGCCTTATTTGCAGCGACATCCTGGAAACAAATACACCCCAAACCCCTAAACCCATAAACCCCTATATACTATGTAAACCCCGAGTGCCAAGCCCTAAACCCCAACACCATAAACTCTAAAACCGGACCGTAGCCTCACATACTACAGCTCCACACCCCAAGCCACTAGACAGCCAGTTGTGCTTCGTCCCCACTCCAAGCAGCAGAGGTATCTATACGGAAATCTTAATCTTAATAGGAGCCCTGGAAGTGCAGGTTGAAATCGGCTGCAACTCGACGGCGCCACCTATTCAGAACCTAGAGACCTAGGACTGCGTCTGAATAAATGGTGATGGCATCCCATGTAGTCCCCAAAACACTATGCTATGCCCCGACACCCTAGCCTGATTATTCAGGGCCCTGTCTTAGAGTTTCGCGACGTTGCCGGGCATCCGACCAACAAACCCTGTCAGGAGTCCTCCTGAACCCTAAATTCTCGAAACCCTTTAAAACCTTAAGGAACCCTTTTACTTTGAGGAGTCCTCCATGACCTCCTCATCCTCCAACAAAACGGTGGCATGTCGTTCCAGTCCGCCGTTGTCTAAGCATCGGGACCTCCAGGGTTTCGGGTTTAGGGCTTGGGCTTTAGGATTTGGGGTGAAGAATGTCGGGCCATGCAGGGTTTCGGGCTTTGGGGTTTAGGATTCAAGGTTGAGGGGACCGTCGACAACATCTTATGAGACGGGTGCTATAGATCCTGGAAGAGCATATAGTAGGGCGTTTAAGGGCGTATGTGTTAGTCAGAGAGATATTTGGTGCCACGGCCTTACAACAAGAGAACTCTACTAAAGTATCGATGTCTTCAAACTTTCGAGGCACCTGAGCTACATAGCACATGAGAGCCAGCATGTTGCCCTTGCTTGCACGAAGGCTCGAAGACCCTCGGAATGGAGTTCAGGCTCTTCCTAGTTCTTGGGCACGATCGCAGCTTTATCCGCGACATCCTAAAACCTAAAACCCCCCGGACCACACACTCCATCA